ATTCTCCGTCTCCTCCACAGTAGTTGTTGTGCAGAAAGGATTTCGAAGGAATATTGTGCGACTATTAGATAGTGCTTGCTTATGATATATCTTCTGTTCCACATAGAAAGTTTATGGCTACCTATAGCAAGGTTTTTGTTTCTATAGAGCTATTTTTCGACCAGTTATGGGTACACAAAGTCGGCATCTTTTTTGACACCTTTTTGCCTCTACAGCTTTCATACTTTTGCTATTCTAGTGTTGCCTCATATCATTCCATAGGTAATTAAAAGTTCTTTTATATTCTGACAAGCTTTTTAGAATTTAGCTACAATTGTCTTCATGAGAGGGAGAAAACAGCAATTTTATGGGCAAAAGTGCTATAACACTCAAAATATTAATTTAAAAATATCAGATAAAAAATAATTAACAGTGCAAAACATTGAACTCCTTGATAGTCGAGTTTTTTTTTCATCAGAGCACTCTTCTTGGAGTTATTCTAATTTTAATGGAAAAAATCAAGAATTTTGTGGTCAAAAAGTAACAAACCGCCTAGTCAGCAATTTTTTTGCTTAGCAACAATACAATCAAATGGCAATACTGCTACGCCCACGCGGAAGTTTCCAATCCCTTTCATTTATTCTAATACTGGTATCTATGCATTAATACATAGATATTAGAGTAAATGAAATAAATAATAACTGAGCATCACGACCCAGCCCAAAAAAATTTAAAAATTTTTGATTTTAAAATTTTGATTTGATTTTTGGTGTAAAAAATTCCTATAATTGTTTTCACCACCTTGCATTGCATAGCTGGACACTTATTAAGACCTATCATTATTAAGACCTATCATTCTCTCTACCTTTTAATGCTTCTAGAGAAGTCTATGTTCTCTTGCTGTTAGAAAGCTCATAACTGACTTTGTCACGTGCCATAAGCCGTCATTTTGTTTACCCATAGATATCATAACGGAGCCTTTGTACTCTAATATCTATGCTATCATTATCATAGATACTACAAGCACAATTATGCATCAGCTATGCCCAGTGGCGGTTCTAGGATTGAATTTCTGGGGGGGGGCCTTAATGATATGGGTGGGATAATTAGTGGGTGCAGTCAACCAGGCTTGCAGGATTTCATTTGGAAAGTCAAAATTTAGAAGATTAGGCCTCTTAAATGAGCTCCTTTGTGGTTTACAGACTGTTTACACAGTCAAGCACTGCAGCTGTTTCACAGTTTACATAGATAAAACTAATTTTATACTTCACCACAAAAATTTTGGGGGGCCATGGCCCCCCAGGCCGTATGGCTATGCATGCATGCATCATAGATAATAGAGTAAATGAAAGGGATTGGAAACGGGGGCGTAGGCTAGTTGATGTTGCTATTGGTTACCGGCCCAATACCTGGTTGATTTCCCATCTCCTCCATTAGTGAGGCTGTACTGCAAGGACTTCGAAGGATATTTATGGAAATCCAAGAGGACGCTTACTTATGATATACCTACCGTTCCATATAGAAAGTTTAGGACTACCTGCAGCAAGGTTTTTACTTCTACAACGCTATTTTGCAACGAGTTATAGGCATAGGCGGCGGAACAAAATTTATTTTGGGGGGGCTGAACATCAATTAAGTTATTAAAATGGGTGTGGTTTTATACAAAAATGGCTGCTAATTTTACAAAAAATGGTGCTAATCTTCTATTGTTGGATTTAGAGTAGTTTTCTTGTCTTTTTCTTTAAATAAAATGAAGAGGTGATGACTGCAGGTCTAATTTTATTGATAAAAGTCAGTTTTATTATCTTTGTTAGTCAGTTGCAGAGAATTTCTGGGGGGGCTCAGCCCCTCCTGTTTCAAGACTGGGGGGGCTTTAGCCCCCTCTGCCCCCCCCTGTTCCGGCGCCTATGGTTATAGGTACAACAAATTTTTTTCATTTTTCGCCCTTTTTCTGTTGTAACAAACTCATGCTTCATGGATTCTAACTCTAACTAGTATCATTCCATATGCAAATGAAAGCTCTTTCATATGATTATAAAGATCTTGTATTTTACTCTAGCTTGTTTTCAAAAAAGAGGATTATAATGACAAAAAATACA